TGAGTGATCGTCAAATGTGATACTCCTCTTCCATAAGACTGGAGCTTTTTGGTGGCAGGTTATTTTTCCTCCTAGACCTGTTTTTCCTGGCTTCAGCCTCATCAGTATAGGTACTTCTTTCTGCTAACTCCAAGGACAGTGCCAGCCCAGGCCCTTCCAACTGCCCAGGCTCCGGCTGGCCACACACAAAGGGGCTTTGTGGGTTCCCGTGAATTAAGCACGGATGGGTGATGGGGACGAAACAAAGTTGGTGACCAGGAGTGCTGAGTCTTGCCAAGTCCCCCTTCCAGCAGTCATCCTCCCCTGGAGGGGGGGGATGTGGCAAGAGGCCATTTTTATACTTCTGTAACTGGGAAAAACCTTGCAGGGTGTTACCATTTTCTATCCAAATTGAATTAAAATGGTCTTGAGCACCTGCTGCCGGATTAGCAGGGAGTCCAGGATCACCTTTTCTGGTCAGTGCCTTCCTTCCCCTGCCACTCTGACCACTTTGGGTCATTCAAGAATAGCCAAGGATTCTAAAATCCAAGAGAAGTGAAACTAGTTGACTTTCACTCCCAAGATGGGGACAAGAGTCTCGAAGTCCAGAGGCAGTCACGTGAGGGCTCTGTCCCCGCGGGAGGGATGTTGCACTCCAGCTGAGCTCCCTCCCCGAGGGGGCTCTCCTGCCCCTGCTCCAGGCAGTGAGAGTCTGTGGGCACAACGCCCCCTACACCAGGCAGGGCCCGGTCGCCTGTTGGGCTTGCCTGTTAGTGTCCCAGGTCATCCGCGTCGGAGCCGACACTTTGTTCTCAGTCCCAGCCTCCAAATATTCGGGGAACTAATTTTAAAAGAGATTTTGAATTGCCCCTAACCAAACTTAGAAACTCAGAACAGTTCACCTGTGGAGGTAGACAAGGGGTGGATCCTGGAGGAAACCCCTTCCATCCCTCCTTACCCTTTGGAGTAGAGAGAAGAAGGAAACTTTGGCATCTTTTATGCTAAAGCAGAAAAAAGGTTTTCAGCCGATCACTCCCACTTTTATTTTTATTAAAGAGAAGCCCTGTGTTTGTTGTTGTTGTTGGTGGTGGTGGTGGTGGTTTTTTTGGGGGGGGGGGGCGGTTTGCACATGGTTTGTTACCTTCAGACTTTTAGGAAGGTTTGTAAGATCTAAGAAATGGATGACTGGACAGTTATTCTCCAATGGACACCCAGAGACCGCGTTTCTAGACAGTTACACTCTGCCAGCTAAGTATCTTATTTCATGTTTGTTTCTGGGTAACTGCGTGAATTTCTGTGCCTTTTTAATCTGTCTTGCTCTTGCTATAAAGTTATAAAAATAAGTACCAAAGCCCGCTGATGTCAGAAATATTTCGTAAGAAGCCAAAGGCCTCTGTGTAGCCTATAGCAGGAGCTCCCAACCTGAGGGCTATAGAATTCTGGAAGGCTTTCAGGTTATTGCCAGGGATTAGTGAGCACCCATGCGTGCTGTGTGTTTATCACAGAGGCATTGATGTCAGGCTGCCTGGGCTTGAATCAGCTCTACCAACGTCCTGTGTGAACTTAAGATGTGTTACTTGAATTCTCTGAGGCAGGATTTCCTCATCTGTGAAGTGGGAGTGATACTAAAAGCACATAACTCATAGAGTTATTATGGGGATTAAAACAAATAATACATGTAAAGTGTTGAGCCCTGTGCCTGACATAGTAACTGACTGGTCAATAAATGTTTATCGTTTTAAGAATAGCCTTCCCATTTATCAAACTATTTCCCAGGCACAGCGCTAAAAACTTCCCGTCCATTATCTCAAATCCTCAAAACACCCCTCATTTATAAAAAGTGATAAGCTGCCCGATGCTAGACTGTTCCAAGACTTTTATTTTATACCAGTTTCCAAAACTAGCTCTTTTTGGCTCAAAAGCCTGCTTTCTCTGAGTTGGATCAAACTGTACATGAAGCGAACTGCAGGCTGATTATTTAACATGTCTTGTGTATATATGCAAAACTGGCATTCTCTTCAAAGGATTTCATAGCCAGCCCAGCACAGAGTGGAAGGTCCCGAGCCCCGAGCTGGGCATGAAGGATGAGGAGGGCTCCAGTCCTGTGGCAAAAATGAATGCTTTATTTGCTGAATGATGTCAAATCTGCAAAATCCTCCCCAAACCCATTGGCAAATCCCATGCTCCTGCTTTACTGACAATCAGACAATATTCTCTTTTTCTTGCTAATCTAACAAAAATTATTCTAGTCCTTCTCTTTTCCCATAAAATGTCTCTCCCAAGGGTGAATCTTTGAATCGCCCTGCTGGAGACTTTTCCCCTTGCAGAGTGAGATTATAACAGACTTCGATATGTTCTCATCATAACTGAAATGCCTAGAGTTTGGTGTTTTATTTTATTTTTTTTCCTTTTAACTGCGGAGACATGAGGAGAAATTTCCAAAGACTTGGGGAGGGTGGGACTTGGAGTGGGGTGGAGGCAGTCACTAGTTACCAATGAGGGCAGAAGTATTTCAATAATCCCAAGCCTATGTGCCCTCAGTGGTGGGTCCCAGCTCTGAGTCAGCCCTGAATGCAATATGTTTTAAATCCAGCTAGACCGTGTAGATTTTCTTGTGGTTTATACAATATAAAAACTGATTTCACAATAGCTTATTGACATTATAAATTTTCACAAACAATGGATACCATGGTATTTTTTTTTTTATGTTAAAAGTATTCTTCAGAGCACGTTACTAACTGCTGCAGGCAAGATTACTGATGCATGCGAAACAGGAAGGGAAATTTTAAGGAGAAATAAAACATCTGCTTAGCCTCAAAGTATCTTCTTCAAAATATTAATTTCCATCATGGCTTTAAAAGATGTCCACAGGTTCTTTGATACTTCTCCCTCTGGGAAGCAGAGCTTAATTCCCTCCCCCTAGGACTGGACTTAGTGACTCACTTCTAAAGTATGGAAAAGAAAAAAAAATAGAAAGTTTTACAGGGGAGAAACCTGGCAGACATTACATTAGCCAAGTGATTAAGGTTAACATCACCAATAACAAGACACATTGCTATGACAGAGCCGCAGAGAGCATGCAAGGAGAAGGCCACCTCTCCTCCGTGATATTCTCCCCACCCCAGTCCACAACCCTGGTCTAATCATGAGAAACCTGGAACAAAGCGTCAGGGCCATCCCACAGCAGACCTGACCAGTGCTCTTCAAAAGCCAACATCATAAAAAAACAAGGAAAGACTGAGAAACAGTCACAGACTGAAAGAGCCTAAGGAGACATGATGACCAAATGTAGTGTGGGACCCTCAATGGGGTCCTGGAACCCAGAAGGGACATGAGTGGAAAAACTGGTGAAATCCGAATAAAAGCTGTAGTTAATAGTGTTGTCCAACGTCAATTTCTTAGTTTTGATGAATGTGCCATGGTTATGAAACATGATGTCACATTAAGGGAAGCTGGTGAACTCTCTGTACCATTTTTGTAACTCTTGGGTAAATCTAAAATAATAGTATAAAGAATAACAAAAATCACAATTACACACAAAAGTGTTCATCCTCACGAAGATTGGGAACTGCAGTTATGCAACACTCAGAGCGCTGAATGAAAGAAAAACCACTAACGAAACACCATGGGCTGCATCGATGTTTCCAGTCATCCCAATGGATGCACAGTCCAGGGCAATGGACGATGTCCTCCTTGTGGCTGGTCTCATTCCCTGCTCCGAGCGGTGACCTCAGCGTGCAGCCTAGCACGAACAGCACGGAAACTGGGAGGTTTCCCAATAGGGCTGGGTGGGAGGTGGGAGAGTCTCCCAGCATGAATGGAGGGAGATCATGGGCATTGAAATAATTAACACATGTAAAGTGCTCAGCCCTGTGTCAGTCAACTCTGTTTATTATTGTTTTTATTAGTAGCAGTTGTAATGGTATTACCATTCATCAAATACCTGTTGTTTTGTAAACCCTGTGCCCAAAACTTGCCGTGCATTATCTTAAATCCTGACAACATCCCCACTTTATATAAAGAGACGTTCTGTGACTTGCCCAAGGCTAGGCTGCTCCAGAACTTGTGTTCTTTCCTGGTCTGCTCAGCCCCCTCTGAGTCTCTGAGTCTCCATTTTCCATAAGGTGAGAGGATAGAACTGGCCCCAAAGGGCAGTGTAGCACGGGGGGGGGGGGGGGGGGGGGGGGGGGGGCGGGGAAGCTCAGGCTGTGAAGTCACAGAAACCTTTGTACTTTGCTCCCAGGGCTGTTGAGAGGACAAGCAGGATGCCGTCTGCCGTGGCGCCAAGTGCAGAGTTAGTACTCAATCCGCGTTATTTGAGTAGGATAATATTGGGAATTTTTAAATTGAGTTTTTTTCTTCGCCCAAATGTTCTTGCTGTTTAATGGTCCTTCACTCATTGTCTGAGGGGGCGGCAGAGAACAGCCTTGGAGAAAGAAGTCATTGTTCGCTGCTGAATGTCAAATTGGACTTTTGAAAGAGGCCGAAGGAAAATTGCTTTGAAAGCCAGGCATTCAATTGTAAGAGTCAACATATATAGGAGAGGAAAAAAAAATTTTTTTTTCCAGAATTCTAGAATCTTCTCTTTAAATAAACGTTCATAGAAAACTTTCAATCAAACTCGGACGACCCAGAGAATACAAGTTTTGCTGAAGTCAGAGAGCAGGCAGTTTCTCGAGTCAGACAGGGAGCTCTTCCTATCTGGGTGGAGAAACTGAGACGAAGGAGAGCAAGAGCATGGGATTCGAGCCTGGAGCCTGCCTCTCGAATCTGCTGCAGATAGAAGAGCCCAGAGCCCAGAGGCTTCCCCTGGTGCTGAAGAGCACATGGCCTCACAGAGGGCCCTGGGCCCCCATGGAAGTCATGCTTGTGCAATGGCAGTAAATCTTATATAGGGAGAGGACCTCACATTCACTCTGCCAAGCTCCACCCCACGTCCCACCCCTTCCCAGTCAATGCTGATTATTAAGCTGTGAGCTCTTCTTTTCTTAAGATTTTATTTATTTATTTGAAAGCACAAGCTGCAGAGAGCCTGAAGCGGGGCTCCATCCGAAGACCCTGGGATCATGACCTGAGCCGAAGGCAGACGCTTAACCCACTGAGCCACCCAGGCGTCCCATAAACTGTGAGCTCTTAACCCCAAACCCACATCTCTCTTCTGTCCCGAGACATTTGTTGCCATGGCAGACTGTGTCCATAGGGGGCACTAGAGAGCTCAAGACTGGATGCAGGGCAGAGGATTGGAGGCTTTTTGCTCGCTCTTCCTTGTGGCAGCGTCACCTCCCAGCAGCCCTTCACCCTGGCAGTGGCAACTGGTTCCAGTAACAACTGGTTTACACATTCCCAGAACCAGCCTCACTGAGGCCTGTTGGAAGTATCAGCACCGTCCAGAGGCGTGCCCTCGTCAGGGGTCGGGGCTCCAGTTTCTACGTTCTAATAATCTCAGCTTCTTCTTCTGTCTTCCCATCCTGAGGGGCGGTATCTGTTTCCTGCAGTTATACCTCTGATATCTCACTGTTTGGTTTTCCACTTGTCCAATACCGTTTAGCCAATTCCTTATATTAAGAAAACAGCCAATGTGATTTCCGTTTTCCTGATGGGACTGACTCACAGGGGGCCTGACTCCCCTAAGCCCTTTGTGGGTCATGGTAAGCATCAGAAGTTTCCAGTGGGGCGTATCCGAACACTGATAAGACATGGATTGTGAGAGCCTTGGGGTCAGGATGAGAAGGGCTCAGAGGGCACAGCCTTGACACCAAGAGGTCATGACTGCAAAGTCACGCTCAGGGCCCAGAGCCAGGCTGGACCAGCTATGCCAGCAGAGAAGTGATGGGGAGTGAGGCTGACCCCAGAGACCCAAAAGGGCAAGGCAGCCAGCAGGGCCAGCAAGCCCAGAAGCCCAGGCCCCCGATGTCACAGAAGGCTCTGCTACCAGATGTCATCCTGAGGGGTGGGGAGTGGGCACCACCAAGAGATGGAGCAATTCTAATACAGAGTTTGGATCCTAATTCAACTCCCCCTCCCCGGCCCCCGCACTGAACAAGAATACATTTTTTTATTTAAATTTTTTGCTTTTGACACCATTTCAGGTTTATAGAAAAGTTACAAAAATAGTGCAAAGAATTCCAAGATACCCTTCTTCACCCCAATTCCCCAAATGATAACATGTTACCACATTTGTTTTACCCTTCTGCGTATTTTTCTGGGGTGCATATATAGTTTTTTTCTGAAATATTTAAAAGTTACAGACACGATACCTCTTTACTCCTAACTACTTCAACGTGTATTTCTTAAAAACAAGGACAGCCTCTTACATGCCCACAGAACAATTACTAAAATTGGGGAATCACTATTCTACAGTACTATTATCTAAGCTACAGGCTGACTTCCGATTTTACTGGTTGCCCGCAAACGTCCTTTGTAACAAAAGAAAATGCAGGATCATGCATTGTATTGTTGTGCAGAGAATCCACTTTCACCCAAAAAGAAAACTGGGGGGAAGGTTGCTGTGATCAAGTCGGGCTCAGTTGTAGAAGCAATCAAGTCTTATTTCGGCATGTCTGAGCCATACAATGTCCATGCCGGCCGTCCTACATTCGCGATGAAGAAGAGGGTCAACAGTGGCAGTAATAAAATTCATGTCCCTTTCGGTCCTGGGTCTGTATGTCTTTGAGTCATATTTGTGGTCATTTGGTATCAGTCAGTTACTCACGACAAAACTTATTGAGATGATGTAGTTTCACAGGAAAGGCAAGACTTCTGGAGTTAGGCCCAGGTGGAAAGCAAGCGTTGCCACTTGACCCTGGCCCAGCTTGAACCTTTCTGAGTCTCTGCTTCCTTGCCTTTACCACGGAGGGGAGGGGGGCATAGCAGGACCTGGAGCCCGGCAAATCCACGCTCACATCTTGGTTCGGGGCTTACTAGTCCTGGGACGCCAGGCATGTGCCTTCACCGGTTTGGGTTTTGGTCGGCTCCTCTGTAAAATGGGGAAAACATGAACAAGGCGTCTTGCTGGGCTGTGGAAAGGAGGTTCTTGTATGGAACGGGCCTGGCTCGTAGCAGGTTCTCGGGGAAACATTAATTCCCTTCCATCAGCCCATCTGAGTTTGGACATGTGATTCTTCCTCTGGGGACCTCAATATCCGCATCTGTAAAACAGAGCCAGGGATGCCCATCTCTTGTGCTGTGAAGAACGAAAATTGCTGTTGGAAGGGCTTAGTGCTCTGAAAAGCCTGATGCACTGTGGCCTTGGCCGAGTAAGTGACTGGCAGATGGTGACAAAAACAGAAAGTGCTTTGCAATCCTGGGGCCTGCCAAGAATGTGGGCAAACCTGTCCTTCCACTGCTGCCCTGGGGCTCTAGGACGCCCCATGCTCCCCCCACCAGCAGGTTCCTCCTGACTCCCCTGGGTGCATCTGACGCGTCCTGGAGCCTGCTTCTAGGAAGCCAGCCAGCCCTGCCTCCGAGAAGGGAGGAAGGATGTCACCCTGTCCTCGGCAAATTGTTGGGCAACAGAAGGCAGCTCCAGAGGCATCCCCCACTGCTGGGGAGAGACGAAGGAATCTGCAGCCTGCTAGGCTTCCCCCAGAGGAGTCCCACCCATGGCTCCAGCCCTGCCGGTCTCCTCCCTGGCTCAGGCACATATCAAGTTCACAGTCAGATCAGGAAAGCAGAGAGGCATTGTGGAAAGGACTCTAGCCTGGGAGGAGGAAAGCCCACCCTAGCATTTATGGGTTCCAGAAAGAGCTGGGCAAGTCCTCTTGCGGTTGGAGGCCTTTAGCAAGAAACCTTGCCCCTGGGGAAGCCAGCTAAGGGTGTCCTGTCCCAGAGAAGGGGCAGGGGTCCAGCTCCCCCACCAACTGCCTCGATGGTGAAACCACAGGCCACATACCAGCCTTATGTGCCACACTTCTTGACCTTATACTTCTATCATCTTATGGAGCCTCCTAAGTCCTAAGGAGCTTGGGGGCATCTTCCTCCTTTGATAACAGGAGAGACTTGAGGCCTAGAGAATGAAACTACTGGCCCTGCTCGGGATTGAAACCTGGATCTGGTTGATTCCAAAGCCCATGTTCCCCAGGTTTGCAATCTGGAGCTGGGCCAGGGCTGCCCTTACCTTCAAGGGCCAACACCTTTCTGGGTGCAGCCCTGTAATCTTGCCAAGTCAATCACATAGTCCTTTTCCCTGGACCGACACATTCTGGGAATCCCAGATCTGGTGGGGACTGTCTGTGTCACCTAGCACTGGCCGAAAGTATCTGTAATTACATGTCATATGTGCCTTCTCCCCCACCCCACCTGACTGGGTTATTCCAGGCACTGAGTCTAATTCCTCTATTTATCTGCCCATGTGCCAAGCAAATGCCAGGAATGAAGTAGGAGTTCAGTAAATGTTTATTGGGTGCACAGAGGTGGAGTTTAAACTCTCTGTTTATCAGAGGAAGCATCTGAGACCAGTGCAGGCTGGCAGGGACTTGCCCAAGGTCACTAAGGCCTGTCCCCCTTCTATCCAGGGTGGTTTCCCCTCTATTACTCAGTCCTGGCTCAGGCTCAGGGTTTTGCCAAGAAAGAGAGCTGGCATTTAGGGATCCCCAAGGGAAGCGAAAGACCCCACCTGGTTCCTCAAGACCCTCCCTGCTATAAGATTAGGGACAAGTCCCAAAGGGAGCTGGGCAACCAGACCCTAAGACACCCACCTTGGAAGGGAGACCAGTTGCCCCTGAAGTTCAAATTTGCTGACCTGAAAAAGAAGAACAGCATGGTAAACAGTTTCTGTTTCACAGAGTAAGAGGCAGAGTGCCTGTGAGGCTAGGCTGGTGTCTTGTGGGCCATGGTGATCCTCTGACTTGAAAGGCAAGAACTGGGAAGTAATTCTGAGTCTATAAGGAAATGAAACCCAAAGATTCCACTGTTGCCCATTATCTATGCATTCATTCATTCATCTGTTCATTCACTCACTTTTCATCAGTGTCGTGTTTCCTAAACTTCACCCATGCCATATTCCTGTCATCACTTTGCCTTCTCCAGTATAAAGTAAATACACTTATTTTTACTTGATGTTTGTCTTTGATTATTTTGCTTCAGTGAATTTAGCCACAGTCTGGGCAATAGTGTAGTTTATCTAAGCACAACTGTGAGAACATCCTGTTTGTCCACATATGCCCCAAAATCCCCTTCCGGACCACCTTTGGGCGTCTCTGCATTCATCCATCTCTCCTCTCTGTGTCTCAGTTTCCCCATTTGAGAGGTGGATGGCATTTGGATGCAGTGATCTTCCAGTTCTGAACTTCTAGAAGTCTATGGTTCAAGGAGTCACACCCAGTAAAGAAAAACACGGACACCAGATGGAATCTGTGGGAGAAGTAACTGGTCAAAAGCCACAGGTTTATCTGTCATGTTTCTGAACATGACTCAGGAGGCCAGACAGGAAATCCCTCAGGATTGGTCTGTAAACCATCCTTCAGGGACTAAGAAAAACAAGTAGGCAGGTCCCCAGGAGCCTTAAACAGCCCCAAAAGCACAAGCTACACACACTTCACTAGACTCTCCCAGAATCTTCTGGAGTTTCTGGAGGCACTGGGATCCCTGATAGAGAAACCTTACCCCTGAAGATGCTTGGCGCTGAGAAATGACTAGGCAGAAAAATGAACCAGCTCTGGCCTCCTCCTAGTCCCCAGGACAGGCCAAAGGGAAGTAAATGTCTTTTTGGGTACCTGCTTAGTCCATTAGTGTCGATTTGACCCCAACGTGGGCAGTGAAGGAGAACGAGGCCCATCTTTGTTGTATACATCCAGCCCCTCCTCGTCCAGCTGACTGGCCAGAGGTGGGCACCTGCCTTGGAGGGAACCACTGCAGAGGCCAGGCTGGGCCAATCAGATTCCCAGACTTCAGAATTAGGACGAGGAGAGCCCAGACAGTTAGGTGCAGAGGAGACCTGCTTAGAATGTTCACTGAGAGAAAGGAAGGAAACCAGTGTTCTGAGAGAAGCATGGGGTGGGAGGGGGAAGCTGGGCACTCCCAGAGAGCCTTCCGTCCTGATGGCTTGCCAGTCCGGGAGCGAGGTCCTTGTGTGACTCGCCTGCCCTTGAGATCTGTGATATAGCCCTGACTCCTCAGATTGAATTACACTGTGTGCTTAAGAGAGCTGGAGTGGGCTTCTGTTTCATGTAACCAAATCAATCACGGATACAGTGAAGCCAGTCTTTCAGCCTCCCAAATTAGACTCGGCAAGACAGGCACTAGCAATCATGATCTTGATGATGCCCGCCCTTACATTTGATTGTTACACTATAACTTTAAAAGTCTCTAACATAGGGTTCATCCCTTCCAGCCTGGGAGGACTGGCCCCAGACTACTCATGCACAAGACTTTTCTCCCAAGAGCACAGGGTTCAGAATAGCCCAGCTTTGGAGCCAGGCAGACCTAGGTCCCAGTCCTCACTTATCCATCCACTTACTACCTATATGACCTATTGAACCTCTCTGAGCCTCACTTCCTCATTTCTACAAACTGGAAAGCAGAACAGTGTGGACCCCGGAGTCACCTCCTCCTGGCTCTGCATCTATTGGCTGATGACCTTGAGAAAGTGATGTCATTTCTTTTTTTTTTTTTTAGATTTTATTTATTTATTTGAGAGAGAGAGGGAGAAGATAAAGAGAGACAGAGAGCAGCAGGGAGGAGCAGAGGGAGAGAGATAAGCAGACTCCATGCTGAGTACAGAGCTTGACGTGTGGCTTGATCTCACAACCCTGGGATCATGACCTGAGCTGAAATCAAGAGTCGGATGCTCAACCAACTGAGCCACCCAGGCACCCCAGTGATGTCATTTCTCAAAGCCTCAGTGTCTTCAACAAAAAAGTAATAAAGTGGTGTTGTAAGGCTTGAACGAAGTATGCAAATGCTTAGCACATGAAGCCTGATCACACTGTGTCTGAAGCCTTACAATCCCTAGACCCTTGAGTTACATCGGCCAATAAATTCCCATAGCATTAAAAACAAATGTCTGGCACAATATCTGGCACATACTAAAAATGTTCAGTATGTGGTAGCCATAACAATAATTTACTATGTAAAATACCTAGCATGAGGCTTGACATATAATTATTCATCAAAAATCATGTATTATCAAGTGCACATTGCTCAGTACAGAGGGTTTGACTTGACCTGGCTTAGCAGGATCACTTTTAACAGAAAAAGAAGTCTTAGTTGATAGTAAGCTCTAAGTGAATCAACAATAATCTCACTACAAAGCTAAATGTGATCTTGAGTCATATTTTAAAAAGTATATATGTCCCTAGGAGGTGGGAAGTATTAGTTCTATCTCCCTTGCCCTGATCAGACAGCACCTAGAGATGGGAAGGGGGTGGAGCCTGGGAAAGGGTCTTAGAAGCTCTCACTTTCCAAGGAAAATAAAAGTTTTTTCTTGGCAAGTGTGCCTATTTGAAAAAATGAGTTAAATATATATACACACACACACACGCACACACATGCGCACACACACACAAAAATTTCCCCTTTTTCCCCCTTATCAATTATGTCTTTGTTTTGGAGTAAGCCACAGTAATCAAGATAGTGTGGTATTGGTATAAAGCCAGACAAATACACTATTAGAGCAGAACTTAGAGTCCAAAAAATACACATACAAATACAACTGATTTTTGAGAAAGGTTCACAAGCACACCCACGGAGAAAAGATAGTCATCTCCACAAATGGTGCTAGAACAAGCGCTCTTCCATATGTTAAAACACACACACACACACTCACACACACACACACACATCCTCCAATCTACTATTTGCATCATAAGTAAGAAGTAACTCAGAGTAGATTCATACACCTAAATTATATAAATGTATATAAGTATATAAATGTATAAATGTATATAAAACGTATAGAAGAAACATAGGAGAAAATTTCTGTGGTCCTGGCTTAGGCAAAGATTTCATAGCTACAACACAAAAAGCATAATCCATGAAAGAAAAAAATCAATAAATTGGACTTCATAAACAATAAAAGTGTCTGCTCTTTGAAATACACTGTTAGGAGAATGAAAAAGACAGTCTACAGCCTGGGAGAAAAATATTTGCTAATGATAACAGTCAATAAGGAACTCATATTCAAAATATATAAAGGATTCAAAACTTATTAGAAAGCACATAACTCAATTTAAAAATAGGCAAGCTGGGGACGCCTGGGTGGCTCAGTCAGTCAAGCATCCGACTCCTGATCTCAGTTCAGGTGTTGATCTCAGGGTCGTGAGTTCAATCCCTGTGTTGGGCTTCACACTGGGCATACAGCCTATTTAAAAAAAAAAAATGGGCAAACTATTTGAGCAGACACTTCACCAAATAAGATATATGGATCACAAACAAGCACATAAAAGATACCCAACATTACTAGTCATTAGGGAAATGCAAATTAAAGCCACAATGAGATGCCAGGACATGTTAATCAGAGAGGGTAAAGCTAAAGAGACTGACCTATAGCAAGTGTTAGTAAGGATGAGGAGGGCCTGGAACTCTCCTACACTGCTGGTGGGGATATAAAATGGTATAACCACTTTGGAAAACAGTTCGGCAGTTTCTTAAAAACATAAATATATACCTACCCTATGACCTGGTCATTCCAGTTCTAAGGAATATGTCCATATGGGACTTATACATGAATGTTCACAAGCGGCCTTATATGCAATAGCCAAAAGCTGGAAACCCAACTGTCCATCGATAGATGAGTGGGTAAAGAAACGGTGGTATATCCATACAAAGGATACTACGCAGAAAAAAAAAAAAAAGAATGAACTAGTGATAGGTGCCACAAGATGGAGAAATCTACACATAATTGTGCTGAGTGAAAAAAGCCAGACATAAAGAAAGAGGACTCTTTCTTTACTGTGTGATCCCGTTTTTATGAAAGTCTCAAAATTGGAAAATGGATTGGTGGTTGCCTGGGGACAGGGGAAAAGGCTGGAGGGACGGATTAGAGAAGGGCACGAGGGATCTTTGGGGGGTAATGAATTTGTTCATTACCTTGATTATGGTGATGGTTTCACAGTATATACATGAGCCAAAACTTAACTAATTCCACACATTAAATACACGCAGTTTCGTCAATGTGGATATAATACCCCAATAACACTGTTCAAAACAACAACACAACAAACAAGGGCCTTCCCTGTGATTCTTCCATCCAGGGCTTGCCATAGGGTCCGTACAACATCCTGACACGCTCATCCTCATTGAGCACCATTGTGTGTGCTGAGTCAGTTGGCCCATCTGCCTCAGCTGCCTGCACCGCAGCCTACACCACCTGGAAACTTCTCTTCCTCTGGGCTCTCTTCCAAGGGGGAGGCTTGTGGATAACTTGGCAAATGGGTAGGAATAATTTACCCACGTATTGAACACCATGCCCCCACATTCTACAGGCCCACCAAATGCAATGCTGCTTTTTTGGCAGGGGAGGTGGGGTGGTCACAACGCAGCAAACTTGCCTTTCACTTTGGAGGAGCAAACATGACATGCCCAGACCTCTAGACCTCCAGAGGCATCACAAGGTACCAGTCCCTGAATTCCTATGGTCTGGATCTCCTACCAGGAGATGCATGTATCTTACCAGGGGACTTAGGGTGCCAGCTACTTCCTGCTCATCAAGTCTCATCAGCATGATGTCATCAAGGTAGTGGACCAGCAAGATGGTGGGGTGGTGAGAAGACCAGGCTCCCCCCCACGGAGTCGTAGACCTCAGTGGCACTGTGTCTCTAGGGACTATATTAAACTCAGGGTTCAGATATCCCAAAGATCTGGATTTTTCCCTCCCCCCCCAGGTACGTTCACCCTGGTAAATTGTCACAGTTTCCTTGGGGGAAAAAGACATGTAGTAGGTGTTTGTGATGTGCTTGGAGGGTCCAATCTTGGCATCGGGCCTCCTTTGAATCTAAGGAATTCTCCATCTGTGATTGATTCAATTCCCGAAATGGACTGAGGAGCTTTGATGCTTATTCAGGTGACTCAGAATTACATACAGCTTGATAAACAGAACATGGTGGAATCTGCTTCACAGCCTTCACGTACACGGCACCTGCTTGGTTCTAAGCCCTTCACGTGCATTAGTTCATTTGGGCCTCACACGCCTCGATGTAGGAGTGCTTATATCCTGATGTTTTCCTAGGGATGAGGAAACGGAATGGATTGGCACAGAGAGGCATGGACTGGGCCGCAGCAGAAGCAATTTGCAGAATAGAATTGGCTGGCACCCATTAGAAATAGCTCAAGTCTATACGCTTCAAAGTCTGCCCAGGTACAGGCCTTGGCCAAGCCACTGTTAAGTGGAGTGAAGGTAACCTTGACCAGGAGTGGCATGGGCAGGGCATGGGCATCAAGCCAGTGGTAGCGAAGCCTCATCTCACTGCACCCAGCTCCAGGAACATTCAGTCCCAAAACCTCCTGGTGGCAGGGTGGGGCCCCTAGGAGGACAAAGGTATGTCCCTGAAGGCCACCAAACTGGAGAAAATGGAGGAAAGAGAGAGAGAAGCAATAGAATGAGGGAAGGAGAGACAGAAGATGAGGGCTGGGGGCGGGGGGGTGGTAGGGGGGAGCAGGACAGATAATGGAGGACGGGGAGGGAGGGAGGTTCAAGGGCCAGTGTTTGAGCCCCCTCATTGGCTCTGATTAAGAAACCTCTGGGCTCCCTCCCCTCCAGCCCAGGGATTGGGGGCCACTGTCCTCAGCACTTTGTGGACATTCTCATCCCCCACAGCTGCCCCTGAGGAGCAGGGATGGCTCTCCCATTTTACCATTGAGGAATCTGAGGCTCGCAGAAGGAAGGAGACCTGCCTAGGTCCCACGGCTGGGGAGAGTGGGGGTTTCCTCTGTGACAGCCCCCAGTGCTTCCAGCTGCTCCCTGATTCCACCCTCCCA